GCTATTGTTCCTCTGGAAGTGTATTTGGACAACAGTATTAAGATAGGATAGGACCAACTGGGTAAGCCATGAATGGTTTTGATTCATCTGAAGTTGCTTAAGTTGGCATTAGTGGGTAGCATTGTCAATGTAAAATGTGTTATTTCTTTTTGAGGCTAGCATTTTTCACTCAATGCTCTGATTTGGCATTACTATTGTGAGTGTACTTGTGAATGATAGAAGATAGTATTACATTTAGGGCCTGTTTGGTATGGTGGTCTAGAGGTAGCGGTTAGTGGTTTTACCCAAGCCGCTAAAAATAGGTGTTTGATAAACTTATTTATTTCGAAATTGCTACAAACTAAGTGTTTGGTAAAACCTTTTATTTAGCAACTTGAGACTAGTGGATATGCTGACTTAGCCAATATGGGTTATTAATTTATTATGGCATACTTGGTTTCTGTTGATTGTCATGGATCTATATGGTTAAAGTTGAAAATAAAAGAAAAGAATAACCGACACCAACACCCGCTAGCTAGCAGACTAAGAGCATATTTGGTACAGCTGGTGGGAAGTCCTTTTGGACTCCAAAATCTCCAGTTGCATCAAACACTACAACTTGTGAAAAATGCTACAACTTCTCACAAATTTGTCTTTTGTCCATTTCATTGCAAATCTTAGAAGCACCGAATTGGTGCTGCAGGAGCATCTCATTTGGGTTTTAATGAAATTAACATATTATTCTTATTTTATTTTTATTTTTCTTTCTATTTACAAAAACAGCACTTCTACGACCGTTTCTTTCCAACAGAACTATTAAAAGCTTCAGCTACACCAAACGGGCACTAAATGTGTACAAAGAATTTAAGAAAAATAATCCAAGTTCGTCGTGGAAAAAGATTTTTATCATTGCTTTTTGCTTAGGTATTCCTAGGAAGAATTATTGGTAGAGCTTTAGAAAAGGATTTGACCTGACCTTTTCCAATTTCCCACAATTGCTTAAGTATTTAATCCATGTTCATCATAGAAAAAGATTTATCATTTCTGTCTTTGGGCTAGCTACTTTACAGATTCGAGCTGCTTGGATTCAACTATGTTGATGAATGATAGGAGATTACCCTTCTAGAACGTCAATGGAAGACTAGGACAGCAAAGGATAAGCATGGTCTTTCATCTAAGGGTTTCCTACTTTCCTCCAGGGATTTATGTATACTTTTGTATTATGTAATGTTATGTAAAGTAATGGATTGGGTAGTGGTTGGTATGACTACTATTTGGAAAAGTTGCACTATATATATAGCAACTTTATCTTTTGGATACCAATATATGACATTTGAATGGGAAATCAGATCATGGGCTCTTTTCTTTCTTTATCCATGCTTCTCAAGAACAAATTGAAGTAGGGATGGTAATGGGTCCCTACGAGGGCAGGACCCCCTCTTTATTCTCATCCCAACTAATAGCAAGTATGGGGATTCTTATAGGAATTTTTAGTAAAGGACCAAAAATTGCCCTCCGTCCCCATCTCCGCAAGGAATGGTAAGTTCTGGTGGGTAATCCATGGTAAGTTCTCTCGTGGGTACAGGGATTACCCGCCAAATATTAAAATTGTAGAATTTAACCTCATTTTTTTTTAAAAATAAACCTCATTTTTTTAGTAAATAAAATTTTTAACATTATATAATGAGTAATTTATGGGATATAAATAAAAAGCTGTAGAAGTGAAAGGCATGCAACAAATTTCACAAATACCATACAAAAAGGGACTACATAAAGAAATTAAAAAAGAGTAGAAATTTGAAACAAGTAAATGCATACAATGGTTAAACAAATGCAAACAGTCTAGCAGATGCATACAACAATTCAGTAAATGTATAGTCTAACAAATTCAGCATAAAAAGAGTAGAAATTTGAAACAAGTTAGGTTTTATGTTTTTATAAATACGTTATAATTTATAAAAATATATATTTATGTTGGATTTGGTAAAAATTAATTGAGTTTTATATTTTTGTAAATATATTATAATTTATAAAAATATAAATTTATATACTTTTTTTATATACAGATTCTTGTAAGGATTCATGGGGCAAAGGAAATTCTTCGTAAAAATTTTGCTAAGGAAAAAATTGCCTTTGTCCCCACTGTGGAGAAGAATCTTTTTTGAATTTCTATTCCTACGACAGAGATCCTATGAAACTTCATGGGTTTAGGGGCAAATTGCCTTCTTTACGGAACTTGTATTTTAACCTAGCTGTTTCAACATGTGTATTGTGTATGGCAGGTGCAGAATGAAGTCATTTATTGTGAAGGAAGACACTCCGCAGAGGAGAAGCTATAGACAGAAGAGTTACTCATTTGCTTTCCATTAGGTTTCCTTTATTATAGATGTTGTTTTATGGTTTCGGAGTTTTTTCATTTTTGAACCCGGGCATGCCTGAGTTGAGAGAATGTTCATACGTACTCTTATTCTAGGATTTTGGACTGCAATGAAATGACCATTCTCCCTAAAAAGGGCAGTCGACCCTCGTGGATTTGGAACATCATTTTATGTGAAGAGACTCTTTAAAAGAGAAAATGGTACGCAAATCAAGAGAGATGTTGTTAGTGGCAATCAGGTGGCTTCTAAAGCGTCTGAATTGATTGATGTAAGACATGAGAACATGGAACCTAACAGCCATTGCGATTTTGGTTCTCATACAGATGTTATTTATGCAGTCAAGAGTCAAGAGTCAAGGCTATTCCATTATCAAGGATTTCGAGGCCACCATTGGATCTGGGTGCAGCATCATTTGCATTAGTGATTGGGTAAGTCCAAAATCAGACTAATAAGTGATGCACCGACATGGTGTTTCTTGAAACAAGTAGAATTCCTAGGAATCACTCAAAAGGGCAATTGATTAACGAATGATTGTGAACCTTTAAGCTGGATGCCTGGCTGTTGAGATTTGAGAATGGAGTCTGGGCAAGATGCAGTTATGCAAGGATTGTAGTATGAATGAGCATTGGAGAAGGTGAATCCATATGGTATAACCGTGGCAGAGTTCACAAATCGAATTTCATGGCTTAGGAATAAGCTAGGACATGGTGGACTAAAAGATAAAGACCTTGTTGTACCCTTAGAACTGGGTGTCCAGGGCAAAATTAGTGGCAATGTGCTAGCTGGAGATGAGTACTGAATTCCATATGACAGAACTCCAGAACAAATTCTAATGATTGTGTATGGAACTGGGAACGAGACAGTCCCTCAGGTTTCTACCCAAAGGGAGCTGTTGTTGCACGAAATACGTGTTTAAAAAAATCTGAGATTAATGAACAAGAGATAGAGAAGTTGTGTTATGTGGGTACGTCTTTAATATTTATAAAGGGGACAATGGATCTATTTAGTCAAAGTTGAAAATAAGAGAAGAGATATTGGTTTCTTTTTGCTTAAGTATCTGTAATTTGTATGGACCTTTTCTAGGTTTCCTTAATCGCTTGCAAGCAGTAAAGTTCAAAAAGGGTATTTTCTTCAACGATAAAAATGCTTTTCCCACTAAGCTTTCAGTGTATGAATGTAAATCAGCCATAAGTTGAGGAAAATTAGAGATGCTTTCAGGCCACATGTTAAATTCTTGTTAGGGAAAGGAGAAAGATTACGGTTTTTTGATTGTTGGACTGGCATAGGGCTTCTTTAGGAAACTTTTGAACACTGGGTAATTATATACATTAAAATGAGTGATGGATGGGACCATATCTGATGGATCTTCATATTTCCAAAGGAAGGTACCTGGATATTTCCCAATAATCAAAACCAAATTCTTTGTTGAAGACTTGCATTTTAACTTGGCACGCACTTCGCTCAATGTAGTTGCTTCTGTCTTAGCTGTCTTAGTTGGACTACGTAGAGGCCAGCTGGATGAAAATGTTATGGCCTCCATTAAGGGTTTCCTTCCAATTGATGGATTTACGTTCACATTTGTAGTAACATTTAAAGTCGAGTTCACTAATGGATTAGGTAGCAGTTGGTATGGTATGACTATTTAGAAAATTCGCAATATATAGCAACTTTATCGTTTGGATAACAATATATGGCGTTCGAATGGGGAATCAGAGCAATACAGTAGCTCAGTTCATGGGCTCTTTTCTCTGCATTTTGTTCATGCTTCTCAATAACAAATTTTGAGTTCTATGAATTTATTTTTTTGATAAAATTTTTGACTTTTATTTTAATCACTGTTTCAACATTTGTATATATTGTGCATGGCAGCTGCGGAATGAATACATTTATTGTGTAAGGCAGGCCCTAAGCAGAAGCTAATAGCCAGAAGAGATACCCATTCGCTTTCCATTAGGTTTCCTTCATTACCCAGGTATACCTGAGTTGAGAGAATGTGTGTACCCCTATTCTAGGATTTTGGAATGCAACGAAATGACCATTCTCCCGAAGAGGGCAGGCACCCCTCAGGGATTTTTTTCAGCTAGTTGCAGAACTTTTGAGAGTGGAGGCTGAGCAAAATGCAGTTATCCAGGGATTGTTGAATGGATGGGCACTGGAGAAGGCGAATCCATATGGTATAACTGTGGCAGAGTTCGCAAACCAAATTTCATGGCTAAGGAATAAGCTATAGGACATGGTGGTCTAAAAGACGAAGACCTTGTTGTTCCCCGAGTGAACTGGGTGACCAGCCAAAATCAGGGGGCCACGTACTAGCTGGACATGAGTATCTAATTCCACATAACAGAACCCCCAAAACAGATTCTAAGGGTTGTGTATGGAACCGGGGATGAGAGTCCCTAGAGGTTTCTACCCAAAGGAAGCTAATGGTCATATGGCTAGATCTTATCTACATAAGACATGAAGTTTACCAAACTACATTCATTTGTGTGTGAGACTAACCAAATAACAACGCAGCATGCACCAACAATATGTCTTATTAGTTCTCTACTTTTTTTTGTTTCCGATTTTAAATGAACTATTAATCCCGAAGAGCATACAGAACTAAGATAGAGGCAGCATAAGGCTGTACCGCAAGTGGCCAACAGCCTACACAGAAAAATATCTGTTGGATTTTCATCAATGGCTAAGTAATATCTATTCAGAGTACAGATATTCTTTAACAATAATACCATGTTCATCCATTGCCAAGGATATCATCCAGAATATGAAGTGGCCCTGAATGACCTAAGCTTCTGAACAAACAATGGACCAAATGTTGGGTCGTATTCCCTCAGTTATCATCTTACTTATGCAACTGATTGCCTCTTTTACACCAATCCAATCGCAAATCCCCCATAAAAGACTAGTATATAATACTATGTCTGGATGCCAATCACCTCCTACGGACATTCTATCAAAATGTTGGATGGCGGTCTTAACCTGACCCTGCTTACGGTAGGGCAGATTATGTTTCAGCTTAGCACCAAAAATTGGTTTGATTAATCTCTAAGTTGTGAAAGTTAAGTTAAATTTACAGCTCATGGAATTATTATTTCCCTGAGGTTGCAGGTAGAAATTACTAGAGGCAGCATACACATTTTGGTTGCCTAGGAAGGATCTACTAGTCCAAGTGCAGGCCAAGAGCCAACCTTGGTAAGACAAACTTGAACTCTGCCCAAAACCTAGACACGGCTCACCGTTTTTGCTCTAAAAAGCTGTATATTTATGTAAGGAAACACCAAGTGCTGCTGTGAACAAACTATACGTTTTTCTACCGTGCAGTTTATACATAAAACTATGTTGCATGTAAATGATATAAGGACTGGACTCTCTCCTTTTGTTTATCATAATCTAACTGTCCACGCCCTATCTGTTTCCTACCATTTTTTTTCAAGTCCAGGTTCTAAATCCTCATAATTAAATGCCTTTTGAGATTTAAGTTTCAAGCAAATGTTTTCCCGAGTTAACTAGCTCAATTGACAGTTTTTTTTTTTTTTTCTTAAGCCCCAAACTTGTTTATGTTCTGCTATGGAAATTCCTATAATCAGCAGCTTCTTAATGTGAGGAGAAGTTTTAATGAAGTATTTAACTTGTTTCCAACTTAGCCTAAAAGAATTTACCTGTATTGGGATGTCACAAATAGACCTCATCAATAACAAGTTGAGCACACAATTAGTAACTAGGTTATCAACATTCAAGTTCTTAAGAAATGCAAACTCAATTTGTCTATTCTCTACACCAACAACAGCACCTAAATGCCCTACAAACATGCCACGGTAACTATCGATTTGCTCATTCACAATGTCAAACTCAAGTCCAAATTGATTAAACAAAATTTGATCATCAATTGAAAGGTTAAGTTGATTACCAGCATGAACGAGACACAATGCTAGAATCATTCATCACCAGTCACCGGAATAAACTTCATTCAGCCCCAATTCCCTTCCAGATGTAAACCACCGACCAGATTTGAGAACGAAAAAGCAAAGAAAAGCAAAAATATATTTGGATTTTTCAAGGGAATTGAAGAAAAGGTGAGCGAATCGGATAAGAGGGAATTGAAGAAAAGGTGAGGGAATCGGATGAAAATGAAGAGAAAAAGATGAAAAACAAGCTGAGATCTCTCAGCGGAGCCATGACGGTGGCAAGCACTCCTAAGGAGCGCCAGAAGGGCGGATTTTTCATACTTGTATTCAATCCATGGACTTTCGGAAGCTGAAATAGGTACCCAGCAACCAGAAGGTAGGGGACGGTGGAGGACGAGTAATATTTACATGAACTCGAGCTCTCAAGAAACCCACCAGCCACCGCATTTTCAACTCGTGCCAGGTTGCTAACATGGCGTCCAATCCTTCCTGCATAACGAGGCGTCAATTGATCCAGTTTTGATCCATGGGTTTGGACCCATAAGGAAGCATAACTGAAATCAATTTCCTCAATTGATTGGGTATGCTGCCATCGCTTCAGATAAATCAAGCCTCCATTCACCGACCAAAGGCTCTCCTCCCAAAGTCCTCACTCAGGAAAGAGAAGGTAAAGAGGTTCTGGGCGCATGTTCGCTTATATTAGTTTCTCCTAATTCTGCCCATGCTTTAGGAACCATAGAAACGACCACAGCTCAAGGCAGAGGACGAATGGAGATTGCTTTCTCCGCAAGCGTAAACGAAACAATCTCCGATTTCTAGCACCAATTCATCGACGAGAGGGTTCCTCTCGACTGATGCCATGAAATTAATGTAAAGACTTAAAAGACCTGAAAAAGGAGTAAAGGAAAGGTGGAACAACCCTGTTGAGTAAATGAAGATCTCATTTGAAAGAGAGAAAATATTTATTAATTTAAACAAAGTATTTTTCATTTTAATGGAAAATTTAAACAAAGTATTGCAAAGAACAACTTGACAGCAAGCCCTTCTTTTATTATCTGTATGTAGAACCACTCTAGACAAGTGTAATTGCACCAAACCAGAAGTCCTTCTTCAGTCCGCATCTTCACTTCGGATGTACCTGCAAAGCCTCGAGGTGGGTCCTCGGAGTAGACACTCCGATGCTTAAGTCAGCAATAATCGGG